AACGGTTTTCATTTATTAAGCCAATTTGCACAATAAAATTGATTTTTTCTGGGAAACGGAGTGAGCAAATGATCTGAAATTTTGTACATGAGTTATTGGTCTAGACATACATCTAGTTACACTAAAGTCTTGAAAAAATATTTTCCGTCCTTTCACTTCAACTAGAACTCCGCGAGTCGGATGTGTCGCCTTGTGAACAATATAGTTTAGGAGAAATGGCCAGGACAAGAAAATTAACAAAGGGCAATAACTCAAAATATAAGAAGTGCAGAGCAGCAGTTTCTTTGCACTGCACTTCTTATCAATAAGATATATCATCCTATGAAGTTTCAAGTCCATAGCTTTTATAATTTATGAGAAATGGCCTGGACAAAAATAAAGTATGAAAATTAATAAAGGGTAATAACTCAAAAATAAGAAATGCAGAGTACCGGTTCTTGTACACTGCACTTTTTCTTAATGAGATCTATCATCCTATGAAGTGTCATGCCCATAGCTTTTATACTTCAGGAGAAATGACCTGGACAAAAATAAAGTATGAAAATTAACAAAGGGCAATAACTCAAAAAATAAGAAATGCAGAGTACCGGTTCTTGGCAGTTCTTGTACAATGCACTTTTTCTTAATGAGATCTATCATCCTATGAAGTTTCAAGTCCATAGCTTTAATACTTCAGGAGAAATGGCCCGGACAAAAATAAAGTATGAAAATTAACAAAGGGCAATAACTCAAAAAATAAGAAATGCAGAGTACCAGTTCTAGTGCACTGCACTTTTTCTTAATGAGATCTATCATCCTATGATGTTTCAAGTCCATAGCTTTTATACTTCAGGAGAAATGGCCCGGATAAAAATAAAGTATGAAAATTAACAAAGGGCAATAACTCAAAAAATAAGAAATGCAGAGTACCGGTTCTTGCGCACTGCACTTCTTCTTAATGAGATCTATCATCCTATGAAGTTTCAAGTCCATGGCTTTTATACATTAGGAGAAATGGCCCGGATAAAAATAAAGTATGAAAATTAACAAAGGGCAATAACTCAAAAATTAGGAAGTGCAGAGTATCGGTTTTGTGCACTGCACTTCTTCTTAATGAGATTTATCATCATATGAAGTTTCAAGTCCATAGCTTTTATAGTTGAAGAGAAATGGCCTGGACAAAATTAAAGTATGAAAATTAACAAAGGGCAATAACTCAAAAATTAAGAAGTGCAGAGTACTAATTCTTGTGCACTGCACTTTGGGTTATTGAAAGAAGCATGCAAACCAAGTTTGAAGTGAATCAGACTTATAGTGACTGAGTTATGCTCCGGACAAGCTTTAGGGGACGCCGCCAACGACGCTGACAACGCCGACAAAAGTAATCCCTATATGTCACCTTTTCAAGGCGACACAAAAACCCTCAGTGGAGTTCCTTTAATATGAAAATCTTAAATTGGTCAGCCAACATTTTAGAGACTGGGGCAGATTTACCTGGCCCTACACTGGTTGTCGAAAACTAGTCACTTCCAGTTTCATGAGGTAAAAGGTTAAAAACTTTGCCACAGAGAAACAGTTTTATCTACAGGTCTTCCAAATTCAACCAATTATAATGATGGGTTTTTCTCACAATCAAAGTGGCCTCTAAAGCAACTAATCAGTTATTAGGTAGACCATGGGTAATGCATTACCTCCACTTTGAAGAGTATTCAAATAGGCTAAAATCACTTGTCAACTACAAATTGAGGGGCGTGGGTTCAAACCCCAGAAGGGGCAACTTTTTTTTCTTTCTTTTTTTTCTTTTTCACATGATTTATGTATCTCTCAGATCCCTTATGGAAGAAAACAGTGTTTGATTTAAATTATATAATTATTGTAGATATTTATTCGCTACATAATGTCAAATTTAATAGCAAATATGATACCAGATATTTTCAAAGTTTAATAAAACAAGAGCCACCGCCGGGCGGGGGCAACGCTCGACTTTTTACTTTTTCTAAACGCAAACATAGAAAGGTTTGTACATATATTAACGTTTCCTTTATATAAATTTAGTTGGTCTGTCTTGTCACATTAGTTTTCTTTATATATTTTGTATATATATGAATAGAAACATTAAGCATATTTCTAAAAATAGCAACAGTACGCAATTTCTTAAAATAGCAACATGACGCAATTTCTCAATATAGAAAAAATGACGCAATTTCTAAAAATACAAAAAATGACATAATTTCTAAAAATAAAAAAGTGATGCAATTTCTAAAAATAGCAACAATGATGCAATTTTCAAAAAATAGAAAAATTGACACAATTTCTAAAAATAGAAAAAAGGAAGCATTTCTAAAAAAAGAAAAAAATGACGCAATTTCTAAAAATACTAAAAATAGAAATTATGACGCAATATCTAAAAATAGAAATTATGACGCAATTTCTAAAAGTAGAAAAAATGACGCAATTTCTAAAAATAGCACCAATGACGCAATTTCTAAAAATAGAAATTATGACGCAATTTCTAAAAATAGAAATTATGACGCAATTTCTAAAAATAGAAAAAATGACGCAATTTCTAAAAATAGCACCAATGACGCAATTTCTAAAAATAGAAATTATGACGCAATTTCTAAAAATAGAAATTATTACGCAATTTCTAAATATAGAAAAAATGACACAATCTCTAAATTTAGAAACAATGACACATTTTCTAAAAATAGCAACAATGATACAATTTCTAAAAATAGCACCAATGATGCAATTTCTAAAAATAGAAATTATGACGCAATTTCTAAAAATAGAAAAAATGACGCAATTTCTAAAAATAGAAATTATGACGCAATTTCTAAAAATAGAAAAATAGACGCAATTTCTTATAATAGAAAAAATGACGCAATTTCTAAAAATAGAAATTATGACGCAATTTCTAAAAATAGAAATTATGACGCAATTTCTAAAAATAGAAAAAATGACACAATCTCTTAAATTAGAAACAATGACGCATTTTCTAAAAATAGCAACAATGACGCAATTTCTAAAAATAGCACCAATGATGCAGTTTCTAAAAATAGAAAAAATGATGCAATCACTAAAAATACTAAAAATAGAAATTATGACGCAATTTCTAAAAATAGAAAAAATGACGCAATATCTAAAAATAGCACCAATGACGCAATTTCTAAAAATAGAAATTATGACACAATTTCTAAAAATAGAAAAAATGACACAATCTTTAAAATTAGAAACAATGACGCAATTTCTCTAAATAGCAACAATGACGCAATTTCTAAAAATAGAAATTATGACACAATTTCTAAAAATAGAAAAAATGATGCAATCTCTAAAAATACTAAAAATAGAAATTATGACGCAATATCTAAAAATAGAAAAAATGATGCAATTTCTAAAAATAGAAATTATGACGCAATTTCTAAAAATAGAAAAAATGATGCAATCTCTAAAAATAGAAACAATGACGCATTTCTATAAAAGAAAACAATGACCCAATTTCTGTAAATAGAAACAATGACGCAATTCTATAAATAGAAACAATGACGCAATTCTATAAATAGAAACAATGACACAATTTTAGTTATTGTTGTTGTTGTTGTAAATATATATATATAGACACACACACACCAATAAATATTTAAATATGGTCATTTAATGCACAAATCTGAGAAAATTCAGTAATTTAACCTTCAAGGTCAAGGTCATTTAAGAGCCCAAGCAAAGTTGGGTTTGATAAACAACAAGGTCTGGTCCTTAAGAATGTTCTCTTATAATATGAAGTTGATCCCTTCAATAATAGCAAAGTTACAGTCAGTCCGCCAAAACAATGAAAATTTCAATAATTTGACCTTCAAAGACAATGTCATTAATGTGTGAAGGTCAAGTCTTTCAGTATATCTTTAACAGTAATCTTTGAAGATTATTATGTTCAAGTTTCAGGACAATCCATTCAAAAATAACAAACTTACAGCCAATAAAAGCCAAAAAATGAAAATTTTCAATAATTTGACCTTCAAAGTCAAGGTCATTTATGAGTGAAGGTCAAGGTCTGGCTGGTTATTTTTAAGGGATATCCTTAAAGATTATTATGTTCAAGTTTGAAGACAATCCATTCAAAATAACAAAGTTACAGCCAATAACAGCATGAACAAGCAAAAATTGGACTTTTAACCTTGAAGGTCAAGGTCATTTATGGATGAAGGTCAAGGTTAGTGTGGTCTACTGAAAGGTCTTGTCCCAAGGGTTGTTGTGGCCAAGTATGAAGACAATACACAAAGAAATAAAAAAGTTATGATCCAGGTACAAGTTTTCGGACGGCAACGGCAACGGCAACGGCAACGGCAACGCCGACCTGACTGTAGCAATACCTCTATTTTTTTTTCAAAAAAAAAAGTCGAGCTAATAAAAACTACACGGTAAAAGTATTTTGTATTTCGCATGATCAACCAATATACTTTTAAGAAAATTTAGGCAAACTTTGAAAACAGTCCCTCATTTTGGTAAATTTAAGGGATATTTTGAATAAAGCTTTTATATAGGGAAATGGTCAAATAAGTGTTTAAAGTGGGTTGGGTAGGCTAACATTTTTATACATATGAAAAACATTTTGTTTAGAAACAATCATTTTGCTCGTGTAATTTGTTACTTGAATGTTATTGTTTGTTTCTTAACAAAGAGCAATAGGACAACATTTTTCAAAATGATGATATTGTAGATTATTTAAAGTTTCCTCATTTCTGAAAAAAGCCCTTCTAATAGCAAAGTTTTAGTTCAGAAATATATCCATAACTCATAAACTACACAGTAAATTTCATTCAAATTTTGCATATGATACAGGTGACATTTAAGGTATATAACTGTCCTATGTTGTCAAATTTACAGTTTCTTATAGTGCCCATTACCCATGGTCTTCCTTAATTATAATATATAAGACAACAGTATATTTGAAAACCTTTCAACAGAGATAAATGGCTAAAAAAATAACAAAACACCCCAAAATAACCTTACTTTCTACTTACTTTTTTGTTTCCTTTTCCACAAGCAGCACAAAAAAATAATGAGTCCGATAACAACAACAACAACAACACCTGAAAATAATTACATTTGTACAAAACAGAATAACAAAAGGGTAAATTTAACTGAAACAGAAGTAGGTGATACATTTAATTATTTCTTACATTTATTTTTTCAAATGTACAGTTTCTCCTGTGAAAAAAAAGAAAAGATTCAAACTTCTGCATATAATCAATAAAACCGAGCCTGCAACAATTTTAATTTTGCAGTTTTGAATTTTCTTTAGGGATTCTATTTCTTTCTCTATTCTTAAGAAGATACCATTTAATTTAGTAAAGAAGAAGATTAAAACCTGAACTCTCGATGACAAGGAACAAGTAATATTGTAAACTATAAACAAAAGCAGATATAAAATCTAACTCTTAAACTGATATCACAAGGTTCATATTTGTATCTGAAAATAGCTCATGTGTAAATCATTACTGGTTGCTATTGCTAAGGGAAAACAACAGTTAAAAAAGATTTGTACATATATAAGGAAAATGATCCCCCCCCCCCCCCCACCCGATGGCAGCAATTTTGACCCCCGGCTTTATTTGAATAAACGTTGGTAGACTTCATAGATGATGTTTCATTTGACTATATATAACCTCTAGCCTGTCTTTGGTAATTAAAAAATGATGTTTTGTTTTTACTATAATACAAACAAGGCAAATCAATGACCCCTTAGGGCGGCCAATTTTGACCAAGAGGGCTTTTTTTTGAAAAAACTTGTAGACAACTCTCTTAGAAGATGTTTCATGCTTAATATATAAGCTCTAGCTATTTGGGTTTTTTTAAAAGAAGATTTTTTTAAAGTTTTTACTATATATACATATAAGGAAAATCAATGACTCCCCAGGGCCAGGCCAATTTGAGACCAGGGCTTTTATTTGAAAAAAACTTGGTAGACACTCACTAGAAGATGTTTCATGCCAAATATCTAAGTTCTAGCTCTTTGGTTTTATAAAAGAAGATTTTTTAAATTTTTCTTTTGGTTGCCATGGCAACCAGATGGAATTAAATTCTTTGAACAATTTTCAAAGGCGACCATCAAAGGAACATTCCTGTAAAGTTTTGATGAAATTGGCTTCGTAGTTTATGAGGAGAGTCATTTATAGTTAAAGGTTATGGACAGACGACAGACAAATTGTGATTACTCAAAAATAACATTTTTAAAATAAATTCCAATTTCATTATAGAAATACTTCTGAAACCAAGACCCTAAACTTATTAATCTAATCACATGATGAAGCTATTGATAATGAACATATATTTGAAGTTTGAAGTAAACCCCTGAAGAAATAAGAAAGTTATAGAATAAATAAGGAAAATTCTAAGGTTAAGGGGGAAATAATTCTAGAAATATTGCTGCTGGATTTATACACCTTGTCATATTATTATGATATGGGAGTTTGAAATTTGAATAAAATCCTTTAAGAAATGACGAGGGTAAAGTAAAAAAAAAATTCTAGAAAAATATTTAAGTTCAAGTCTGGAATAGTCAAGCCAGAGTTATGAAATTTCTCATACATGCTGTGGGTCATGATAAGGAACATATACTTGAAGTTTGAAGTAGATATCTTAAGAAATATAGAAGTTATAGAAACAAGAGCTGTCAGTAAGACCGCTTGATTGACTTTTTTCATGAAAATTCTGATGATTTTGATGCTATAGATTTAAACCTTGCCACATATGATGTGGTTGATGCTCAGGAACATATACTTAAAGTTTGAATAAAAACAGTTGATACCTTAAAGATCCTGTATGTTTTGTGATTGATATTGTTACTGTCTGTATACCACACTTGCAAAAAAATATATATGTATATAATTATGCAAGTAAAACAATTTTCAAACATCGAAGAATATGTAAAATGTGTACTGCAAATATTTAAGCACATTATATTTAATCAATAAATTATATGCATTCATTTCTTATTAGAAAATTTGACTTAGAATTTATAGAAAATAAATTTCTAATTATCTTCCTTTATTTACATGAAATATTAAAATCGGTAATATCTTTATAAATAATGCTTATTGGAACTTACAATATTGACAAATCTTAATTTGAGCATCATATTTATGAAATAAAACCATGAAAAAAATGTGTTACAGGATCTTTAAGAAATGAAGAAGTTAAAATAAAAAATATTTCATTGCACAAAAAACTTGAATCAGAAATCTGGACATGGTCGCAGTACTGGGTGAGTAGGAATGTGTTCTCCATATTTTATCTCTATTTTTGCCATAGCAACCAGTTTTCAACATAGGAAGAAAACAAGAGCTGTCGGTAGGACAGCAACGCTCGACTATTCTTAGTGCTTGATAGTAAAACAAGAGCTGTCGGTAGGACAGCAACGCTCGACTATTCTTAGTGCTTGATAGTAAAAAAAAGTGCTTGATACAGTTAACTCCTCCTGTTTACAGGTTGGGGTCATGATGGTGAACAAGTGTGCAAAGTTTCAAAGCCATAGTCAATGGACTTTGAAAATATTTGAACTATTACAAAAACTTTAACGTAAATTCTAAGTCGAAAAAGGGGCATAATTCTGTCAAAACGTTTGATAGAGTTACCTCTTCCTGTTTAAAAGTTTTGGGCATGATGAACAAGTGTTCAAAGTTTAAAAACCTATTTGTCAATGGACATTGAAAATATTTGAGGTATTAAAAAAACTTTAACATAAATGGTTATGCCGACGCCGACACTGACGCTCGGGTGACTACAATAGCTCTACTTATTCTTATCGAATAGCCGCGCTAAAAATGTGCATAATTTCCATACTGCCATCTATCTATGGTTTCATAAAAAAAATTTCAGCACTACTCTGGAAATGATGGTATCCAGTTTTTGCCGACGGACTGACAGACAAAGGGCTGGACATTCCAACAAGACAGTACTTATGTTGCTACTCCATTGTTTTCTAAGTCACATAAATAACAAGAGGGCCTAAGGGGCCCTGGATCGCTCACCTGGGAAATAGGTTAAACAGTCAAAGTTGAGCCCCTTTTCACCCCAGAAGAAATAGCGATAATTAAAACATTGCGTAAAACACCAGATTTACAGTACATATAAACAAAATCAATGACCCCCGGGGCAAGGCCAATTTTGACCCTAGGGGCTTTATTTCAACAAACATGGTAGATATACACTAGAGCATGATTCATGCCAAATATCTAAGCTCTTACTCTTTTGGATTTTAACAAGAAAATTTTTAAAGTTTATACTATATACATATATATATATGGGGAAAATCAATGAACCCCTGCAGCGGGGCCAATTTTGACCCTAGGGCTTTTATTTTTATATGAACAAACTTAAAAGATATCCACTAGAAGACGTTTCATGCCAAATATCTAAGCTCTGGCTCTTTTGGATTGTCACAAGAAGATTTTTTACTTTATACACATAAGGAAAATCAATGACCCTGGGGCAGGGCCAATTTTGACCCTAGGGCATTTATTTGAACACACTTGGTAGACATCCACTAGAAGATGTTTCATGCGAAATATCTAATCTATAGCGTTTGGATTGTCACAAGAAGATTTTTAAAATTTTTACTTATATATCATAAGGGAAAATAAATGACCCCCTGGGCCGCGTCAATTTTGTCCAAAGAGGTTTTATTTGAACAAGGCAGTCTGAAGGACAGCTAAATCCCCTTCAGCAGTGAACATGAATGTGTACTTCTTGACCTGTTACCAGCCACAATCATGATGTTATATAATGCCATGCATATCATAAGCACATAGTCTCATGATGGTGATTATTTGTGCCATGATATTTGAAATCTTCCATAAAGTAAAAAAAGTTATGGAGAACATATAACCTTGACATTGGGGGCAGCAACCTGGATGTTGAACTCTGTAGATTGTGTCATGGTGGGGATCACTTGTGCCAAGTAATTTTAAACCCTTTAAATTGTCAATAAGTTATACAGTGGAAATGAAAAATAGATGTTTTTTACATTAGACCTTTGAGTGTGACCCTGTCACCTTAAGGGTTGTGTCTTGATTATTGTGCTCTGCCAATGGTGTCATAATGTTGATCATTTCTGCCAAGTTATCTTACAAATATTGCAGCGGTTTAAATGTAATGGACAGACACGAAATGTAGACTTCTTAACAGTTGACCTGTAAGTGTGACCTTGACCTTGGGTGTAGCAATTCAATTATTGCGCTCTGCAAATCGTCTTATAATGGTGATCACTCGTGCCAAGTAATTTAAAAAAAACTTTTCAGCTGTTTCAAGTTATGGAGTGGACACAATTTGTACACCTTTTAACACTTGATCTTTAAATGTGACCTTGACCTTGGGGATATCAATCCAATTATTGGGCCGACTGCACATTGTCTAATAATGGTCATCACTTATGCCAAGCTATTTAAAAACTTCAGCGGTTAAAAAGTTATGGAGGGGACATGAAATGTAGACTTTAATACATTTGACCTTTAAGTGTGACCTTGACCTTGGGAATGGTAACCCAATTATTGCCCGCTGCCCATGTTCTTATAATGGTGATCAATTGTGCCAAGTTATCTTTTAAAAAACTTCAACGATTAAAAAGTAATGGAGCGGATATGAAATGTAGACTTTTTAACATTATTCCTTAAAGTGGGACCTTGACCTTTTGGGTAGCAAGCCAATTATTACGCTCTGCTGGTCATCTTATAATTGTGACAACTTATTTCAAAAAATTTTCAGCGGTTAAAAAACTTACGGAGCGGTAACAAAATATAGACTTTTAATATGAAAAGAAGACTTTTTAACATTTAACCTTTAAGTGTGACCTTGGGGTGGCAACCCAATCATTGCGCTCTGCACATCGTCTGATTAATGTTAATACTTGTGACAAGTTAATTTAAAAAAATTTCAGCAGTTTAAAAGTTATGGAGCGAACATGAAATGTAGACTTTTTATCATGAAATGAAGACTTTTAAACATTTGACCTTTAAGTGTGACCTTGACCTTGGGAGTAGCAACTTAATTATTGCACTATGCACATTAACTTATTTTGGTGATCACTTGTGGC